CCTTTGCCCTAACTTTTGACCACCTTTCTGCATTAGCTCAATTCCAAGGCGCCCCTGGATCAAACAGCTTGACCACTGCTGTACATCATGACAGCTCTGATTCATAAGAGAGCCCTTTATCCACAGCCTCCCAAATGGATATTGCAACCCAATTAGATAATGTTGGAGTCAGATTTGCATTTTAAATAGAAACCACTGTGTCTGTTTTGTAAATTACATACGAAAAAAATCTACAGATTTTTGTTTAGTTCTGTCTTAAAATTAATAGAAAAAAGTAATTGGAACATTAGGAGAACAAATGTAGAATAAGTAGGGAAGTTTATTTTCAGTACAACCAATCTTTAAAGTTTAACAGCCAATAAATATAAACATGAAGTGGCAGTTGCCTCATTATAAATGTAAACACACGTATAAACCTACTCAGTAGCAATTTAAAACAAACTGAAACATATCCCTCCTACTTTGGTTATGCCTGAGCCTTTTTCACCAAGGCAGTCATCCTTTTTGATTTCTCATTTCCTACCTGACTTGATGGCTATCAAATACAGTCACTAAATAGTTAATTTTACTGAAAAGTAACTTTTTTTTTTCTCCCCTCTCCCATGTAAAGTGACTTTAGAATTTTAACAATGAAAAAAAATGCTCTTTAGATAGTTCTAAAATAGCACTCTGTCATACATATATCATATATGTGCTTGTGTGTGTGCATGTGTCTGTAACCTTGGAGTACAGAATTAGCATCATCATGTGTTGATTGCTTATACTAATGAGACTCATTAAGGTAAACCATGTCTATTTTATGTAGAGTAAATGGTTTAAATGACTCCATTTTAAACAATGCTTTACTTTAATAATTTTTGCTTCTTAAATCTGTCTTTAAATGTTTCCATTTCCAATAGTGAAATAAATAGGCAAAAAAGTCTTGATAAAACAACAGTCATTATCTTGCATAGAGAAAAAATGCTATTTCAAATGTGGAGAATATCTGAATGTTACCATGTAAATTTAGAGATATTTATGTATTTTATATATATGTTTATGTATTTTCTGATTTGTAAAATATAAATTTGCACTAAAGCAAATTTGCATTTTCTTGAAAAAATTTGATGAACTTCAAGTAAGTTATCTATAATCACACAATCTTGTTGTTTCCATTACAATGTCTTCTAATCTATATCTACTCTCTGTGAAATTGTCTATATTTTGAGCCCACACTTAACATTTGTGTTCTGCACTTATATATTCTCTCGTGCTAGGATAGCTGCCATACTTACAGCAATAAAACATAATAAAAGTTTTAACAATGTGACATTCCATAATGTTCAATTGTTTCCTTTTTGTTGGACAAGAGTATTAGTAACAGCAGTAACAACTACCATTTATTGACTATTTTCATAGTAAATGTTTTGTAAAGAGGATCTTTTAACAGAATAGAGGCCAAGCATAGTTAGTTATATTGAGATGCCTACACTTTAGAATTTGATATCCTTGGCTTCCTATCATCTGTGTTATGTTGGTCAAAAAAAAAAAAAACACTACTGTTTCACTCACCTTTAATTTCTTCCTCTGAAAAAAATAAGAGCAATATTAGTTGACTTAGAGTCCAGCACATTGTAGGTGTTGAAGATATGAAGGAAGTGCGTTATTGGAAATTACATCTAACGTTGCTTTACCCACATCTATAGATTCCTACTGTTTTGTTCATATCTCCAAATGAATTTCCAGGAAAATGGAAAAGCATTCCACCCACAATATGCTAAGTGTTCATTTTTTGTGTGTGCCAGATCCTCACCAAGTTTGCCTTTCCATCATTCTTCTTTGTGTTCTTTCTTTATCCTTTGAGCAAATAATAGAGCCTGTTGTGCACCTAGCATTTCTGAAGTCACTGTCAGACTCCAGATTACAACTGACCTGAAGAATGTGCTGTGTGTTCAAAAAATGTCAGAAGACTCAGACCCAGGCCCCCCTACTAGGCTAGTAAGCTTAGGTATTCACCGCTTAGAAGTGTGTGTGTACGTACATGTCTGTCTTCCCCATGAAGTCAAAGTTCATTATCTTGATAACATTTCACATCATATCAATCAAGGTGATCCAAATACAAATTCCCAGGAAAGACACATGTAAACAGATAATTATACAGTATGAATTACAGTAATGGATTAATGCGTAAAATGTGACTGTTTAGTTCTACCTACAATATTAAAAATGTTGATAGAATTCATTTCTGAATTAAATTTTCTTTCAAGGGAATAGCAACTTATTAATTAAATAGAAAAGGGCCCAAGGTTAAAAGGTGTCAGCTACCTGGAGAAAACAGACGATACAAAGTCAAGTACAAGGGAACGAGACAGACTTACATGTTTGGCAACAATTTTCTTACAGCTAAAATAATCACATAGATGAATTAGTGTTAGAACAGGATGATGAGAAATTAGGCAGGTCTGGCCACACCTGAAAGAAGATAGGTGGCAGGTAAATACTGAGGTGGCTGGGTATATCATGCATATTTTGTCATACAACTGGGTATGTTATGTGCATTTTGTCATATACTGTATTAGAAGTAATGGAAATGAGGTTTTGAATAAGAGGATTGTGTAAGTTTATAAACTATGAAAATGGTGGAATTGGTATTAAGAGCTAAGTCTTCGAGAGCCGAACCCCTGTTCTCTTCACCAATATGCAATTAATAGTTCAATGGAAAATCATTTAAGTGTCTTCTCATTTGGGGGGTTTAATTAACTTCTCTGAAGATAAATCTTTAGGATTTTGTTCTTTGTCTCAAGCTTAATTGAGAGCCAAAGCAGATCTTCTACAAAACTAACTTTCTTTGATGTCTTTCAAATGTAAATATTCCCCCCATAAAGATAGTTTCCACCTGTTATGTAGCAGATTTGTCTTTGTAATCTTTGTTTTGTTTTGCTTCCTTGCTCATTTATTCATCCTTTGATATGGTCCCCTGTGCACCTTTAAATGGAGTAGATGGAGTGTCTTTTAATTTGCTTCGGATTCTTCTGTTTGGTCTTGTAATCTCCCTTCTCAGGCCATTAGCAAGAAGGCCGATTATCCAACTTATCTGTCTTTATCTGCACATATACTGAGGGAGCAAGAGCCCTGAACACCTCATGTAAATTTCATCCTGCCCTCCTGCTGCCCATTTTCTGCATCCATTTCTCTGATCCAGCTGTGTGTCAGACTGAGTGTGTCTGAGTCTGTCCTCTTTACTGGTGCCTCCTCCAGGAAAAATCTCTAATAACCCCAGGAAAAAAAAAAAGACCCTGCTATACACACTCAGTGCAGCTACTGCCTTGCCCTTGAAGCTCTTGATCCTTCGTAGGAAAGTGAATTTGCACCAGTGCTTCCATTCCTTCCTGAAACACCCTTTTCCTTTTTGCTGATATCATCTCCAGTGAGCACCAACAATTCTCTAGACAAGAAATCAGCCAACATTTTCTATAAAGGGTCAGGTAGTATATACAGTTTCAGCTTTGCAAGTCATACTATTTCTGTCAATCTCTCAATTCTACTATTGTAGCATCAAAGCAGAGACAATTTGTAAATGAGTGGCTATGGCTGTATTCCAATAAAACTTTATTTATAGACACTGAAATTTGAATTTCAAATAATTTACATGATTCTTTTGATTTCTTTCAATGATTTAAAAATGCAAGAGCCATTCTTAGCTCGTAGGCTACACAAAAACAGGCAGGCAGCAGACTGCAGTTTGTTAACGCCTGTGGCATTGGTTCTTCCTCAGCTTAAATTGGGGTCTGACCCTCCATTCTCCAAGCTGCTTCTCTACAGTATCTGCCATCCAAAGTAACTTTCCCTAGTTACTTAATTCATGCAGTTTTATTTATATATTTTAGTTATTTTCATTTTCTATTTGTGACTCTTTTCCCCTTTGGATCTGGCTGTTGGGATGGCGGTCAGCAGTGTTTTTGTCCCAAGCTAATACCTGATCTGGAAGTGAAAAGTTAGATTTTTTTTCCCCTCTCTGGAAAATTGCCTTGTTTTTTAACCTTTTACTCTTTTTTAGGAATTGCTGCAATTGAACTAAATTAACTAACCACTAAACTAAGTACTAATTACTAGCTTGAAATTCTCTGCATTGAGCATGTCTGAACTTTATTCCCCTGATTTTTCAGATTATTCTTTCTCCTCTTTCCTCTTTGAGATTGTGTTGCAAACAAAAAGATGACTTTGGCAAGTAAAAGGAAAGATTGATGTAACAAAAATGTGAATTGAGACAAAAAATACATGCCAATTTTGACATTTGTTGTTCTTGTTCATTCATTCACTCAGCAAATTGTGTGTGTGCCAGGACTATATCCCAAAATGATATTGCACATTATATCCTGACATGCAAAGATGAGTAGAATGCATGCTTATCTTTCAAAAGAAACATAAGGGAGATAGAGACCCAGGAGATGCATCTTTGTATAATAATCTTAATATGTCTCTCATGTTGGAGGACATATGGAGTATAAACAGGCAAAGCATGAAGCATGTGCTGTTTATGCTCCATGAGATGTGGTGAAAGAGCATTGCCTGCAGTGTTCAGAGTTTGAGGTCAAGTGTTCAACTGTTCTGAGCCTTGTGGTTTTGTTGTAAGAGACTCTACCTTGTGGTTTTGTTGTAAAGACTAAATGAAATTTCATACACAGGCATAATATCATTTTCAGCAAATAGACCCTAAATGCACATTAGAGAATGTTACCTTTGCTTTCTCACTTGCTTTGTTTCTTATTGATAAATTTACAGCCTTCCAGTAACAATAGAATACTTCTTACTCAGACTTACTTAATTAGTACGTAGTGTGTTTCTACTGCTGGACTATACATTGTGTGGGAAACAGAGGTGTGTTAATTAAAGCCCAATGGATTGCTTGTCAGACATCTTTTTTTTTTCTTCTTATAATACTACGTGTTGAAAGATACACTTGTGCAAATGATGTGAATGATATTTGTTGACTGACTTAGTTATCTCTGGTATCTCTTTAGTTTCGAACAGTGATGGCACATATTTTGGTCACCAGTTGCTCAGTGGACTGCAGATTGTCTGAACTGTCTCCATCCCCATCATGTACACCACAAAGGCTCTTTACTGGTAGGTATTTTCTATTCAGTATCATTTACATAGTTATATACTGTGATTTCAAGTGTATATATTTATAATGAAAAGTGTAGAAAATTCATGTGATTACAACACTGTTCTGAAATATGTCTAGATTTAGTCTTTTCATGCACAAACCAATTGTAGAATAAAAGAGCAGATTAAGATCTATTTTGTATATGTATGTGCCGTATATGTCAGTAGTTAATGCATCTTTATATGCAGAATTTAGAAGTGTAGAATTTTTGCCTCTATTTTAACTGTATAAAATGAAGTCACTGGAAACTTTCAGTGTCTTTTGGTTCTTATAACTCTAGCAATGGAAACCTAAAAAGTTTACTTAACATAGTATTTTGACAAAGTTCAGTTTTATTATAGTTTTACCCAATAGGGTATCTGGTATGCTTCTACTTACATAAGTACCATATGATAACTGACATGTGATATTTATGGTGTCATGAAAAGGGAATGATTCTCAGTGGCAGAAGATCTTAATTTAGTTCCAACTCCTACATTGATCATCTGACTGCTCAAACCTCTAGACCTCAGTATCCTCATCTCCAGAACGAGAGGAAGGATCTGCTTTACCTATTCATAAGATTTCTTTCAAGGTCAAATGAGGTAATAAATACTGCATTATTAGTTTACTGTCCCCCCCCCCTTAAAAATAGTTGGTATTATAATGTGACTAACATTATAAGTAGGGACCTATAAAAAGTTGACCATAATTTTCTTTTAAAATTGGATGATACACCCAGAGTTTGTATGTTATTCATCTAAGAGATAAATGATAAAGTTATATTTAATATTAATTAGTGACCCAAATTAATTTCTTATTTTGGAGAAAATTATATCTAAATGAAATATGAAAATACTTAGTTTCTCCCACATACAGCACACAGCAATCCCCAGCAAATATAGAAAGGGGTCTCCATTTGTAATATCCAGGTTATTTACTCTTTCATTAAATTTTATTTTGGGGTATTTACACTTGGAAGAGAAAAAATACATTTGATACTTTCAAAGCACAGTTTAATTTCAGGATACTGGAAGACTAGAAAGTCAAGTAGATATTACTCATTTTGTATAAACATTTAATTCCTTTGTTCACTGAAATCTCTTTATTGCCTTATATGACCATTCTCATTAGCTAATGAATACAGTTAAATTGTTTATAAGATTGAAATAAAAACCTTCAATATATTTAGTAATATCAAGACTTTACCACCAAAATTAAGCAAGTTCTTATATAACCAGACCAATGTAATGAAAGAGGTTTGCACAATTTTTTCCTAAAAATTAGCTCTAAGCATAATTGAATGGGCAGTGGTTTATTATATGAATAAAATTTTTGCATATAATTTAACAAAAACTGTAATAACACATAAGTCCCTGCTGCTATTGTAGCATCATCTTTAATCATGAGAACTGCCTGGGCTTGCAATCCAATTCCATCATCTTCCAGATTTGCAATGTTACAGTCAATTATGTTTTCTATGCCTTAGTTTGCTCATCTGTAAACTGGGTCTAATAATAGGAGCTTTATGCTCATCAACTTGTGTAAATTAGGTGAGTTAATATGGTCAAGTGCTTAGAAGAATGTGTCATAATCACTATTAGTAATTAGTATTCCCTGGATGAGTGTGGGATAATGGTGATGACCACAGATTTTGGAATCAGAAAGCCCTAGATTCACAACCAATTATTAGCTAATGGTGGAACCGAAACTAGTTACTGAACCTTTATAAAGTTTTAGTTTCTGAGAAATAAACTGGTAATAAAATATGCTGTACTGTTTTTGATAAGGTAGTTAACAAAGGATCTGGCAAACGGTAGCAACAGTCTCCCTCATTGGAAGTTGTGAAGATATAATCACAAATTATTATATAGTGTAATTTTAAGGTATTATAAATCAGAGCTCTATTTATGGAAATGTTTTTGTCATTTGTTATATTTAGGGAAACTTCAGAAGCATGTCCAGTCATAAGATTTGTTTTGTTACATCTAGAATTCCCAAGAAGAAAAGCAATTTCAATCAAATTGCAAATGCAAATATACCTTAATTAATGGCATCCTGATTTAAAGAATTAAAAATGACAGAAATCCATTAGCCATTTTAGGCTACCAGAGAATATCAGCTAAATGTTTAATTTGTTATAAAGATGGGCATTTTTAAAATGATATTTTTGGTTTTTTGCGGAAAGAAAAGGATAAAAGAAAAAGAAAGCAGAAATGTAGAAATTGACACAAATTGACAGAGGAAGGATTTGAACTTTTATTTTCATAAGCACGTGTCTTCAATCAGATTGTATAATTGTTTATATTATTAATAAACTTAGAGTATTGTCCTTTGGGCTTGTATTGGACAAAATTCAGTGGTTATAATGGGTGGCATTTTTCAAATGAGTCATAATTTGTTCCCAAGGTAAGAAATACTGATAATTTGGGACAATAATCTGAGCCAAGACCCAATTGCCTGGCTGCTGTGTATCACTCAGAGCGGAAAGCCAAGTCTTGTTCCCTCCCCTGTTAATTATAAACTATCTAAAACAATGACAGTGTTTGTTCAGTCCATGTCTGTATCCATCCATATCAACAGCCAGAGAGTCTTTCACATGCAAATTTAATCTGGCTTGTTTATAATTCAGATTATAATATCACTAAATGCTGCTGTGCACACTTCCTTTTATTCTTCTTGCTTATTTTTGCAATCATTTTTGCCTTTATAGAGCTGGCCTATGATGAGGACAGCTTTTACCCATGATGGAAGAAGCATTTGAGTGTGCAGGCTTCGGAGGTGTATTCCTAGGGCCTCCATACTACTGGACATGGTTTAAACCAGCTGCTACTTTGCTGTTCCTGCTTGGGGACTTGGATGAGCTGTTGAGAGATGACTATAGAGCTTATTTGGACCTCCTTTTCAGGGTCCTGCATCATTCCATACTTTGAACACTTCACCACGGCCAACATTCACATTTTAAAGTCTCATATTAGGACTTAGGATATAATAAAAAGAAAAAACAGAGTCATGTTGTCAAAGCCCCCGCTATGGAGACACATGTGTCTTTACCAGTTTCCCTGACACTAATATATTTGCATTTTTTAATCTTAAAATTATCTGTGGCTTTAGACATCTACTGAAGGAGTCTGATTTAGTCAGTTATCAGTATAATAGTTTATAAAACAATATCCCTAAAAACTAGAGAGAAATGCAGTGTTTTATTCACTCTCAATGCCAGAGTTTGGAGAAGATATGGGATATTCAGAACTGAAGTTACTGTAATTTGGAGACAGAGCAATGAAATCTTTATCAGTGGGACTGAAAGACTAGGTCTGTTTCATTGGGTTGTAACTCAGAGCAGTTTCTGGAGTCTGGGAAGACCAGGAGCCAGGCATTGGCAAATGTGGTGTATGGAAAGGGACTGCTGCTACCTTACAAGGGTGTCTTTCTCCTGTCCTTACATGGTAGAAAGGACAAAAGAATTATCTAGGGCCACTTTTGTAAGGGCTCTAATCCCATTCATGAGGGCCTCACACTCAGACCAATTGACCTTAAATGCTCACCTGCAAATAGCCTCACATTAGGATTAGCTCAGGATTTAATATTTGGATTTTAGGGAGACACGACTTTCAGCTTATCACAATATCCATCTGTCTGTCCTGTTACGCTGATGATTTACTGAGGGTTCTCCTCATCCTAAGTACTTCTATATTTCCAGTGTTTGGCACTCAGCAAGTAGTTGCTGATTAAATTATTGACTAAAACAATGACATCTGTCCTCACACCGAACAGGAAATAATTAGTTCTCAAGTCAAGAAGATTTCCATGAAATATCTTTGAATATGTAGAATAGCTTAAAATCATTGATATACATCTATAAAAAATGAGGAAAATGACAATAACAGCTTTTATCATGCTATATTTATATCATTTTTAATATTTTATCAAAAGAAAGTATTTTTGAAAATAGAAAATACATAATTACGAACTTCCTGATTAATTTATCATTAAATATATTATTTTTAGAATATTTCAACAATGATAATATTTCCCCTCATCTTGACAGAGACTGGAGTTTTTTCCTCCTAGAAAATTGCTGAGAATTTATATATATAAAGAAAATAATTCCTCATCTTATTAATTATTACATATATTTTCAATTAATTTTGTTCAAGACTGGAGACCTGAATTCATTATAAACTATGAAAAAGTACATATGTATGTCTGTCTAGCTTACACACATGCATATATTTCATATTTCCATGGATAATGCCTAATAGTACTAATTTGGGAAAGATAGAATGTATATATTAACTAGTTATACATTCATATAGGCTTTAACTGTTTTTGTAAGTAGAGCGGAAAAACAACTGAACTAAAAAAAGTAAATAAAGTAAGTAAATAAACAAAAGTAAATAAACAAAACCCTAGTTACATATAACCCTGTGAACTTTCATTTGAAAGTGATTTCAGTAAGTATATATAATTCAGAGGAGGAGTAAAATTGTTGCATTTAAATACTTTTTCATGAATAGTACCACTTTTAACAGGAAAGACCTTTGAGTCCTCTCAGCTGGTATCTTAGCACTTGATATTCATCTTTGCTACTTAGTGTACATCAGTCATATGACAGACATCAATACAGACTAACTAGGTAGAGTTATAAGTAGCACAGGGCATCTCAAGCTGTTCATGGCCTTAGAGGTGAGTAGAAAGATGGCCTTAGAGGTGAGTAGAAAGCACTGATCTGAATAAGACATCTCTAAAAGAGAGAGGTGGGCAGACAGGGCCCTCCGGTTTTCAGTGCATGAGCTATTTTAGATTGACATACTTCAAGCAAAAAAGGATAATGTTTGAATTAATCGTATGTCAAGAATATTTCTCCAATTATATAAGCAGATGTATTTTGGAGTAATGTAAGTATTATCAGTTTTAGAAATTTGATTTAACAGCAGTGGAAGTGGGTAGAGCAACACAGCAAGCATATATTTCT